CTTGCCCTTAATATCTTCATCTTTAGGTTGAAGAATAAGGTTTGAAAGAGGGGAAGGAAAAACCAAAGGGTAAACTTTGTAGCACTAACAAGGCCCTTCCATCAAAGCAGAGCTAAACATTTTCCCAAACTGGCGTTTTGCAGAACAGCCTGTCAGAAAGTACTGATACGTTTGTAGGGGGTAAAGGGGTGGAAGCCTTAAGACTTCTATGCACCAATAATGTAAGAAAAGGTCAAGTGAGGTTAGTTCTCTTTACTGTAACAGGAATTATCAGAGTCCTTAATATCCTGATGGGGGCTGCTTTCTAGGAGGAGAAAGAGTACGCAGCATTTCCCAACCCTTTTGAGCAAAAAGTAATTTCACAGAGCAGATCAGAAACCGTTTGGAGTATGCTGGTAAACAGAAATTTTTGAGATGGACATTAGGAAGCCCCATCTCTTCACATTTTCCCTTCCATTGTCTGCTAAAGCCAACAGTAGTGACCAGAATCCAGAAGAAACCAAGGACCCATTTAGCCTAAGATGGAATGGAAGGAGCAGCTTTCTCATTTTTCATCTCCATCCTTACCATCCCCCTACCCCACCAGCTAATAAGATGTACATTTCCTCCCTTAAGCAACCCAACTGAGTGTTACTCTCCTTTTGGGTTAAAGTGCCTAATTCATCATTATCTGAGACAAAATGAATGTTACCAAGGCAAGATGGATGTAAGGGGACTTTGTCTAGTAATTGCTAAGATGCCATAGAGGCAACATACTACCCAAGCAATACTTTCCCAAGCACAGATTAAATCTCCACCAGCAAAACCAAGTATGTATGTATGTATATACACACACACACACACACACACACACACACACAAACACACGTATATATATATATATATAACTCAGGCATTGGTGCTGGTGTTTTAGATTAGAATGTGACTTTTCTAAATCCCCCAGAAAAGGTATCTGCCCTTAGGATCTTTCATTGCTTTAGTTCAGTCCCTTCTGGGCTCGGTGCAGTTCTGGCACTGATCTGCAGCAGACTCCCTTTCCTGAGACTGAGTTTGACCACATAAAAGGGCTGTAAAATAACCTCCATGGTTATTAGCTAATTAAACTTGCATTCAACACCATAGGTGATAGGTGATAAGACAAGGCAAAAGATAAGATTCAGATGATGACAGGAGAGAAGGATTAGTTGCAAGCTGGATCTGAGCTCAGGTTTTGACATGACAGGAACTGTCTCCCACACTGTTTGGAAGTGGAAGGAGCTCCCTTGGCTGCAAACAGAGTTTCACTTAAGGAATGGGATGATGTGGGCATCAAACCATTCTTCAGACTGTTGTAGATGGTCCCCTTCTGTGGCCAGGAAGACAAGCTTCCCTGCATTGTCCATTTCCTTTAGCCCCAGGTGGTCCTGTATGTACAAAGTGGTCTCCTGTAAGGGGATGGTTTCCTTCACTTGGCAACTTCTGTCAAATCCAAACCACACAGAATCTATAGGGTCCACAATAGAATCATTGAGGAATTTCACCATCACAAACTTCTCCAGGGCCATCAGGTTTTTCTTGTAGGACTCATTGACACCTCTCTCCTGATTTATATCTGCCAGGAAGACACTGGTTGCGGTACATGTCCTCTTTTATGGGGTCATGCCAGTATTCTGCTTGTATCAGGCATTCTTGAATGGCTTTAGAGTAAGCACCAACATTCAATGTTTTCCTAATCAAGTCACTTATATAAGAGCACTCTCCTGGGTATCGAGGAAGTCCAAAAATACCTTGATGTTGTCCTCCAAAGGAGATGAGATTGTTCATGGATGGTAGTGGGCATCTCTGAGCCACTGCTCTCAGAAATTGGCCTCCTTGGGAGAAATCCATAGCATTGTAGCCTTGCTGCAATTTAGGATCCTTGGCAAGAGTCTGACACACTGTTGATACTTGGGAATTGACATGCAAGAAGAAGCTATTCTCTACATCCTCTACCAGCATCTTTCCAATCTCCAAGGACAAGACATAAATTCCAGGTATTTTCTCCTCGACCATTTTTTTAATAGCACCCTTGCTTAAGGGATTACAACAGCTGTCTCCTGCTGATCTGGGATTAGTCAGTCTCAGCAGCCTACAGTTGCACAAAGCAAGAGAAGCCTCCAGCTTGCTCCAGTGGGCCTGGAAGGCAGAGCTGGAACACAAGGTTGAGGGGCCTTCATGCAGCCTCCAGAGTCAGCACTCTGAACTTGGACTTGTAGCCTCCTAAACTGGGGTGCTTTTCTATAAGCTCCTCTCAGTGCTACTTTCCTTTCGTTCTTCAGATCGTACCTCAAGCGTCATCTTCCTTCTCATATGTCACATGCACTTCCTTCTCAGTAACCCACTACTCCAAAGGAGCTGGAAGGATTGAAGAGTGGGGAAGCCACTTGTTGCCAGGCTGGTGCCAGGGCATTGCTTGAGTGGTCCCAGAGACTGCTGAGAGGAGCAGCAACTGGGATCTTAAAAGCTTGCAAACAGCTATCTACATGCAACGATGGGTCTCTCCTCACCCAGAGCAAAGGAGAATGAAGAAACCCAAAGATGCACGGGAACAATTAGTCCAAGTGACTGGTACACCATGTGATCC